GTCAAGTGGGCATGTGTGTCGACCTGGAGCTGTTGCTTTCTTGGGGTGCCTTGTTTGTTGGGGGGGGTTCCGCAGGGCCACAGTCCCGCAGACTTGCTGCAGTTTGTAAAGGCTGTAGAAGACCTGGGCTCTACTCGGTTTGATTAAGTTAATGGATGTAAATCGGGAACGGTGGTGGTTGTAGAGAGCTACAGGATGTTGGGGTGTGTGCATTCGAGTGACCTCTGGACTGCTGTCCCCCTCGCAGCGCGCGGACTGATAGCAGGACCTGGTGATTGCACGTTCAGCCAGACTGTGGCTCTGCAGGCTCAGGCCAGGCCTCCTCTGTTGTGCAGCGTTATCCAGCCCAGAGGTTTGCACTGCAGCTTGCCAGGCAGTTGCTAGATGACACTTGCTAGCTCTCTCTCTGTGTTCTTTCTCCCTACCTCTTTCTGTGCCTCCCTCCCTCCCTCTCTCTCAGCTGGCAGTGCTGGCCTGGGGCCATTATTGTCTGCTAGTGGAGTGCGCAGCCACACACACACATACACACACGCGCATGTGCTTGTGTGTGTGTGTGTCTCTGTGAGGACGTCCCATTGGCTCTCCTTGTATTTTTGTTTGCTATTTGCTGCTCCACGCTCTGCCGAAACAGAATTCCACGTGGGGAGGAGGTGAGCCCTGAAACCGAACGTGTAGGCCCTTGTTAGGTTTGGGAGGGTGCCAGTCTTTCAGGTTTATGTAGAAAGTCATCTGAATTGCGGGGGCATCCCCTCAACATTTGCATCGGGTCAGGAGTTCCTGCGAAGGTGGAGGCGTTTTCTCCGCGTGTCCCCAGGCTGCTGGTGATGCAGCCCCACGTGCAGCGGACCCGTTCTGTCATTTACCCTCCCCGGCTGGAGTCGGGTCTCCGCCAGACCCCAAAGGACTCTTTTTAGCCCTTCTAGATTTTTAAAGCACGTGCAGTTCGCTTCCTGAACGTGAAAGCGCAGGTGCAGCCATGTCCGTTTCTCTGAAGTGCTGGCACTCGGGTGAGTGGAACGGGTCCGCTCAGGCCGGCCCGAAGCGTGGAATCGGGTCAGGCCCGGGCGGGTGTTTTGGCGCGGGCCGGCGCCGTCCCCCCGGCTCCGGGGGCGGGAGTTTCCACGGCGACGCCGACTCCTCTGCGCCGAGCGCCGTGCTGCGTCTCGTTCTCCCTCTCTCTCTCGCTCTCGGTGTTTCCCCTGCTCTCACGAGGGGGGGCTCCTCCAGTCTCGGACCCGCAGACCCGCCTCAGGCCTCGCTCTCCACGGTCTGCGGGAAACCCGGAACCGGTTCCGCCAGGCGGCCGGTGTCCAGACTTGCTCCGTTCGGCGTCGCGGCCGGCTCGACGGGGCCCCACTTGCCCCTTTGCCCATCCCCGCTCCCCGAGAGAGACGCGGGCCTCCTCGCCCAGACGCGCTGTCCTCGAGCTGTGACTCCTGGCTTTCGCAACTGTGACGAATTTCCCAACGCAATTCTTTCCTGGGGGGAAAAAAAAACGCTTTTGAAAACAATCGCGTCCTCGTTGCTGGTTCCCGAGCCTATTGGGGGGGGGTGGGGGGTGGGAGGCTGATTTCTTACAGCTGTGCTTTTAAAAATATTTAGAGGAAATGACACACAAAATCCCCCTCCAGTGCGCCTGTGCGTGTGAGGCGGAGGGGAGGGCCCACGTGTTTTTCTGCTCTTCTCAATCTGAAGCGGAGGAAAAGATCACAGAGCCCGTAGTGCGGCCGTCTGGTCGTTTGGGCCTGTCGGGGTGTGTGTGTGTGCGCACGCACGGTCGAGCCTGCCAACCAGTTGGCCCTGTAATTACAGCCTCTTCTGTGCTTCTCCCCTTCTCCTCTCCTCTGCGTCTTGTTTGAATTAAGAGCAGCGTCCTTTGAAGGTAACTCTTAATTACAGCCTTCCTGAGTTCTTTTAATCACCGAGCCGGGGGCCACTCCCCCTCTGCCTCCCCGCAAGACGTCGCGAGAGCGCCGGAGGAGGCGGGGAGGGCTGGGAGGGAGGAGCGCTCTTGGCACCCTTTCTCACGCCGGGCTGCCGGGCCTGCTGGGGTTTCGAACGGCCTTGCCTGTCCGAAGAGCCCTGGACAGCCTTGCGGGCTCGACGGCAGGAGCGCTGGACCGCAGCAGTGCTGGGTGTGGTGCCAGAGTGCGATCGTGAGCCATGATGGCAGGATTCCCCCCCTGCCAGGCTCTGCCCAGGCTGCCGTTACCAGTAGCATCGGTTCCCGAGAGAGCCCTGAAGCGCCGCGCCACAAAAGAGAACCATAAAATAGACAGCGCTCTAAAAATAAAGTGTAAAGGTTTGCTGAAACTTGCCAGCACACGATACACAATAAGCATGGAAACCTGGGTGGTGACGTACACGTTCAGATGGGGGGGGATTAAAGAAGCAAAGGAAGGAGATTCTCCCCTGGTCTCCGATAGGGGATTCCAAGCTCTGGGGCCGGCCCGTCGCCGCCGAGTTCTGCTGTCACGTTTGTGGAGTGGAAACCGCTGTTGTTCAGAGATATCCAGGCCCTGGATTTTGGGAGAGGGGTGGCTCCGAGCTGAAGTTCTTTTGAAAGGTGGAGAGGTCCAGGTTGTTGGGATGCCTTGTAAGTCAGCAGCAGAGTTTGGAGATCTGTGGCGATCTTCACTGGTAGCCAATGCAAGGATGCCCGATTAGGAGTTAAATGTGGCTGCAGGAGCCCTTTGATGTCTAAATGATGTCATTTCTTCCTGCCTTGGAAGGAAATGATATCACTGGGACAGAGCACAGCAGAGACAGCGATGGGCTTTGGGCAGGGCAGGCCATGGCCATGTGGTCTTGAACTTTTTAAGAGGAAAAAATCAGCTTTATCCATGTGTTCATTCAGAATACATAAGCTTTGTTTATGTGTTAGGTTGGAGTAAATTACCTTTATCCTTGTGTCCATTCAGCAAGAAGGATGTAGACAAAAATGAAAATTTTGGAAGAGTGGTCAGTGCTTTATCGGCACTTTCTCAGCCTTTCTCAATAATCAATGCATGGGACGCATTGCCCCACCGGTATGTTAGCTAATGCACTGGGATGGATTGAATCCCTGGGCTGCGGGAGCTGGGAGAGCTCAGATGGGCTTGTGTGGCCTGGCAGTGAACCACTTCACCAATCAGGGAGTCAGGAAATGCCTGTGCTGTCTGCAGGTTTGTCTGGACTCCTCAGGCAGGTATTTCAGTATATAGTGTGGTGCCAGCCTGGGTTTCGCTGCTGGGACAGGTTTGGTGGCGGAATGCCTTGAGTGTGTGGAGCAGTGAATCCTGGTCCCGGGACGACCTCAGCACGGATGTCTGATCCGTTAGTGCTTTTACGAGCTACAGGCTCTTGTACCAAGTGTATCACCTGGATGATGTGACGGCAGCCATAGTGCGCCAGAACGCTCCCCACACACCAGCTCTCAGTGGGGAGGAGAACAGAGTGACGAAGCCAGTTCACAGATGGGGATTATTAGGAGGCCACGACTGGTAAGGGCCGATGGGAAATTTGGCCAGGGTTACACCTGATGCTGTTTGACCTCCAGGCTTGCAAAAAAATATTGTAGCTTTCCACGGATATTGACTTGTACATCCGGAAAACCCGACATGGATCTCGTTGCTATGCAGCGAGAGTATGTTTCCATCCCTGCGTGCAGCAATGGCTGCCGAAGCCTACAGGCCAGCCCGGCTGTGCTCAGACTCCCCCTCCCACGCACGCGCGCACACGCCTATTAATTAGCCCTCGGTCGGACAGCTGTCCTCTCCGCGAGGCTCTGGCCGGATCGGCGCGCCGGCCCCGCTGCGGCAGACGGGAATCGCCCCAGCGCTCAGGGGTTGTTTCTCTCCTTGCGCTGGAGAGGCGAGACGCGTGAAGGGTCAGAGGCGGCGTGGATCCGGTGGGAGTCCGGCGCGGGGGTGAGCCTGTTCGAGCCCCCTGTGGTCCTGCAGACTCCTTACCTGAGCGCCGTTGCTCTTGCTCTGAAGGAGGTCTCTCCCACAGAATTGCCGGATCTCTTTTTTTTTTAAACGAAAAGCCCCGTTTTCCAGATGGAGCATGCGGGTGTTCTCTGTGGTGTCAGCCGTTTGAGCGAGTCCGGGCCGGCCCTGTTCAGACACAGCGGAGCGCCACTAAGGGTGTCTTTTGATTTACTGTGCGAGCTGCCGATTTTGAAACCTGATTACTGAGTAGCCCGCGTTCCCCTTCCTTGTGTTTTACGACTCTCGGGCCGTGATCCTGCCAGGTTAGACTGTAACGCGAGTCTGCAGAGGATGTGGAAGGGCTGTCCTCTGGGAAAGGTGCTTCATTACAAATCATGACTGTGGTTCGCCTTGCCTCTGCCTGTTCAGCATCTGAACACAGTAGCCAGATTATATGCGTTTGCACAGCAGGAGCGTTTAGTTAGAGCAGTTGTCAGTGGCCCCGGCTCTGTGTCTCTCTGGGGGTGTGGCGAAGCCTGCTCCAGGCTGCTCCCGAGTGTCTGCTGGAGTGTGACGCTTGAGCGACCAGGCTGCGGGGCTGGGCATCGGATTAATCCCGCCGATCACCAGCATCCCCGCGTCTGTGAGCCGCGCCACACTGGCAGCCTCTTCCTCCGCATGAGGAAGCTGAAGAAATGCCCCGCTATTCCATGGTCCTGTCTGAGGCGTTGGGGTCCGGTGGGGGGGAACCTCGCACGGTCCTCCTGTGTGCTCCCAGTACAGTGGGATCTCCCAGTACAAAATGCTCAGAATCTGGGCAGTCTCCCCTTCACCAGAGCCTCCGTCGTCTTCACTTGCTCTCGCTGTAAAGCTTCTGTACTTTCGCTGCTTGTGGTGTGAACTTCTTTATCCTGGGGACATTTTTTGACCAATTTTTTCCGCCCTGTGGTTTGAACTGGGCGACACTACCCCCGTTCAGGGGATCTGTCTCCCCCTTGTGGCACTGTGGGGTTGCTGCTCTTTTTTGTTTCTGCCTGCTACTGCGACTGGGCCCTAATCCTGCTCTCCCCCCCCTCTCTCTCTCTGCAGGATTTGTGGATGCACTTAGATGTTTGCAATGAGCACTGTGGCTGGCATGCCCCAGTGTTTTGGATACCAATGCTTAGGACCCAGTAGGAATCGAATTTATCAGAAGAGAACGTCATGAGCATAGTCATCCCTGTGGGAGTCGACACAGCAGACACCTCATACTTGGACATGGCTGCAGGCTCGGAGTGAGTACACCCCACTCTCTTGACCTTTTCCGTTCCTCTGTGCGTCTCTTCCTGTCCGGCATGTTCTGCCTTCGCCTGTCTCGCCCTCGGTGCTTCTCCTCCATTCTGTGTTTTTGTGTGCTCCTGTTTTCTGGCGCCTCTCCCGCTCTGTGACCATGATCAGCCTCTCTCCGTCTCTCATCAGCCATCCTCCTGCTGTGTTCAGTGTCTCTGTCTCCCTCCTGCTCCCCCTCTTCAGCAGGCTGGAGGAGACCCTTGGGAAGATGAAGGAATTGCCCAGGCTGTGGGTGCTGTAGGGTGCAGGGCCCTGAGGGCTTCTGTCCAGGGTGTCCCTGCTTGGCTAGTGTTTCAGTGCTGGAAGACAGGGACAATACAGACTCCCCTTGAACAGAGCGGAGCTGATCCAGCTCTCCTGTGATCCAGCCCAAGGTGTTGGGTGTTCCCTCTCGGTTCTCTGATAATAATAATAATAATAATAATAAACTTTATTTTATATAGCGCCTTTAAAGGTGGCTTCTCAAAGCGCTTTACAGGATGACAATAACAATAAATAAGAAGACTACAACAATAAATAAGAAAATTTCACAAGACAGGACACAATTATAATTACAACAATAACAATAGAGGAGACCGTGGAAGTTGGTATTAAGAAGAGCAGAGGGGTGAAGAATGGAACCAGTTAAGTAAAGGCTTTTCTGAAAAGGAGGGTTTTGAGTCTGGATTTGAAGGAGTTTAGAGAAGGTGACTCTCTATCCTTGGGCAAAGAGTTCCAGAGCTTGGGGGCATAGCAGGAGAAGGCCCTGTCGCCCATACAATGTAGACGGGCTTGGAGGACAGTAAGGAGGGCAGAATTAGAAGAGCGGAGGTTGCGAGGTGGGGAGTAGGGCGATAAAAGTTCAGACAGGTATTGAGGTGCCAAGCCATGTAAAGCCTTGTAGGTGAACATGAGGATTTTAAAGTCTACGCGGAATTTGACCGGAAGCCAGTGCAAGGACTCCAGGATAGGAGTAATGTGAACACTTGCACTAGACCTGGTCAGGATTCTGGCTGCTGAATTTTGGACATACTGCAGCTTGTTCAGAGTAGATTTAGATACCCCAGGGAGCAGAGCATTGCAGTAGTCAATTCGAGAGAATACAAATATGTTGATCAGCTTTTCAGCCACAGTTAATGATAGCATAGGGCGTAGTCTTGCGATATTTCTAAGGTGAAAAAAAGATGTTTTGACAGTATGCTGTACATGTGGGTCGAATGTTAAGCCAGAATCGAATATAACCCCAAGGTTTTTCAATTTTGATTGGAGCTCAAGTACAGAGCCATCTACAGACAGGGTTACAGGACTGGCTTTACGAAGTCGATGGGGGGTACCAATAAGCATGACTTCAGTCTTGTCACAGTTAAGATGAAGGAAGTTTCATCTTCCTGATCTGGTGGGTAATTAAAGGTGGTAAATATAATCCGAAGTTGGGGTAATTTCTCTGACTCTTTGTAGTGGACTTTATACGATTGAAAAGCACGACGTGGATCCCAGTGCTTCGCAGAGAGCATTCCCCTGCCTTTTTTGTTTTACCTTGTGAGCCGTACCGCTCTACCCAGCAGCAGAGGGAAGGAGGCTCGTCTTGCTGCTGGTTGCTCAGTGCCGCGATGGCTGGGCTCATGCTTCCATCGAGCTTCCAGAGGCGCCTGGGCCCCCCGGCGCCGTGCTGCCGAAGCGAGCAGCTGTACCAGCGTGTGTGTGTGTGTGGTACCTCGAAGGGCATCACTGCACCTTGGCGCGTCCGCTGATGGTGCGTTGCCATGGCGGCGAGAGTCCAGGCGTTGCCCGAGGCTGTGCGGCGCTGCTCTCTTCCTCCGCGCGCTGCGCTGTGCCGGCCCTCCCCTCCCCTCCCCTCCCTCCTCTCCTCTCCTCTTCTCCAGGCAGCAGGTGTGTGTTGTGTGTGTGCAGCAGCAGCAGGTTGTCAGCCGGCTTCAGGGCTCGCTGTGGGCTATTTTTAGCCTGCCGTGCTGAGCTGGTGCCTGAGCTTTTCCCGGTCTAAAACAGACTAAAGGGATTAGGACTCCTAGCTGTCAGATTGCAAGAAACTCCCTTTCCCCTCACCCCTCCTCCTCCTTCGCCTCTGTCGGCGCTCTCTAACCAGGCCTTTGGAGCCCGAAGGAGCCCGCGTTTGTGAAGCGTGTCCTTTTATAGGTGTGCACAAGTTGTACATGTTTGTGTTTATTTCCGTGTACGCCTGTGCCTGTTTTACCCGTGTGGTCTGTTTAGTCCAGTGCACGCGTGGGCCGGCAGTGTCTGGTTGCAGGCTGCAGACCCGTTGTGATGCCAGGCTGCACTAGGCCATACTGAGGGGGCACGTGCGTGTTTCCCCCCACTTGCACGCCTGCTGGCTCCCCCGCCAGCCTGCGCAGAGATGAAAGCCCTCGGCTTCCTGAAGCCCAGGGTGATCCAGACCCGGCGGTCCCCGTCTCGACCGGAAGCAGGAGAGCTGCGCTCGGCCGGGGAAGCCATGCTCTGGCTGTGGGTTGAGTTACGCAGTGGGATAGTCTGGGATCGCTTGCCGAAGCCAGCAGACACGGGGCAAAGAGCAGCGCCGCCCCGCTAGTTAAACAGAGACAGAGATGCATCATCCTCGCTCATGTATGTGCGCGGCTCACCTCATCGTCTCCCACCTATAGACCGCGGCGTGTTTTTGGACTGTGTCGAATAGGTGTTGGAGTGCTGGAGGCCTGAGTTCTGCTTTCAGCCCAGCGCTTCAGGAGAGCCCTCTCTAACTGGAGGTAGGAGCGGTGGCTTTGTACTGGGGACTGTTCTTCTATAGCCAGCTGGTGTGATATTCTTGCCCAGAGTACACAAACCGAGCCAGCACCCTTGGCTTCAATCCATGTTCTGTTTGACTGGGTTTTTTTTTTTTTGGAGCTGTTTATCATAGTGGTAGTTTTGGCCCTTATCTGATAAGGTGTGTGTGTGTGTGTTAGCTGGTCTGTGTGTGTCTGGCTTGTGTGTGTGCGTGCGCGCGCTCGCGGGCTCTGTCCTGCCCCCTCGCTCGTCGGCGCTGACTGAAGCGTGCTCGCCCTCCCTCCCTCTCTCTCTCTCTCACGTGCTCTCGCTCGGCCGCGCGGCGACGGCGTGCTCTGACTCAGGAAGCGCCGAGCGAGAGGGAGCACGCGGGAGAAAGCCCTACCAGGTACGGGGAGCTGTGTGTGTGTGTATGTGTGTGTGTGTGTGGACGTCGTGCAGAGGGAGGGAGACAGAGAGGAGCGGGGGGACCTGTGATTACAGACTCCCCCCCCCGCTGTCGGAGGGCCCCGGAGCCCCTGCCTTTCATGTGGCACGAGCTCGTCATGACCTAACTGACCGAGGGGTTTCATCAGACCCGCGGGGCTGGTGCTGCTGGTGTTGTCGGGTCTGCTCTGAAGGTGTCTGCCTCCGCGGCAGAGGCTCTCGATGGCTAGAGGTGGAGCCCACCCAATCCGCTGGGGATCTGGGCGTCCCGGGAGCCGGGTTTTGCTGTGCTGTCGTCTCCTGTGCCCGTTCCTGCGCTCCAGCCAAAGGTGTCAGTCGCCTGCGTTTTCCCACTGTTTTGCTAGAAATGAAATTGTCCAAGATTGGTAATGGGTTTCTACATGTCCTCAGTATCAAAATTCAGTTTATTTTTTTCAAAGTGGCGTTTAAATTCCTAAGGCGCAGGTGAAAGGAACTTGCTCTTTCTTGAACTGGATGGCCACGGTTTAGCTCCTCTGAGCTGAGAGGCTGACGTTGCATTGAATTATAAACTGTTCTCTTTCATTAGTGTGGTCAAGGAACTAGTCCGGCTTTGTTTGCATGCGAGCAGTTTGGGCGGTGTGTTCCCTGGGAGTCCGTGCGCCTGCAGTGCTGTAGTGAGGTAGTGTAGTGAGAGCCCCTCAGCCTGCCACAGGGCACAGCTGGCTCTCCTCCCTCTGCTCCTCGGGCAGCGTCTCGCTGGCACCTCCCCTGGAGCTCGAGAAGGACTGCAGTCGCGCTGCCAGGGGGTCCCCGTGTATCCCGCTGGTGCGGCGCGTCCTCAGTGCTCCAGGCGCAAGAGGTGTGCACCCGCAGGCAGGGCCCTCTGCTCCGAGCTCAGCTTGAGGTATGAATCTGTGTTAGGGGGGCATTCCAGGGTCCTGTCCCCGGATTGACTCGGGTGCGCTGGCCTCTGTAGCTGCGGTCCTCGGAGCCGGCTTCGTGTCCTTCAGAGTGCCCTGCAGCGCTGCTGGGAGGCAGCAGCGAAGTCTGCCCAGGTCTCGCTCTCTCTCTGTGCCGTTTCTCCCCCTTTTTTGTGCTCCCGTGGCGTCTTTCCAATGCTCCTGATTTCTCCGCGCTTTCCCAGTGCCCCCCGTTCTCCTCGGCCGCTTCCCCCGCTGTGCTGCCTCCTTCTCCCTCTCCCTCTGCGCCCCCTGCCTTTGTTGTCCCACCTGTCTGCCACTCCTCACTTGTGCTGTCGGCCTTTCTTCCTCTGGCTCTCGTTCCTCGTCCCCCCTCCCCCCTCCCCTCTCTCTCGGTCAGTGTGCAGTGGGCCTGCCTGCCAGGTGTGAACGTGCTGTGTTTAGTGATGCTGGGGGAACAGGTGGCAGCCCAGTGTGGCCCCTCTCTCACCCATTACCCCTGCGCTGCGCGGCGCGCCAGAACCCGCTGGGCAGAGCACAGAGCGTCTGACAGCTCGCAGCACACACACACACGAGGAGGAGGGGTTTCCAGCCCGAGCTTGATCCTGATCTTTATGTTTATCATCTCCACAGTGTCCACTTGCATTGCCAGTGCTTTGGATGAAAAGTTCTAAAAATGTTATCCATAAGATCTATTAGATTACACCGCTAGCTCAGATCATCCCCTCTTATCTGTTCAGTTATTGTTCTGCGTTTTGTGTCCCGATCTGCAGTCCGTAATGGTCCCGAAAGTTCTCACCGTTTTCCTCGCTCCAACATTTATTACTTAATACTGACAGCAAGTAATGAAATATTTCTGCCTGGAATTGATAAGAGACTCTGCAATGCCTGTATGTGTGTCATCTGTCATGTAGTTAATCTCTGGCAGGACTTGTTCAACTCGCCCTGCCAATCCAGTGAAAGAGTCGCGTTCCGGATGCCGCCGCCGCCGCCGTCGTCTCTCCTTCTCTCCTTGAATCCCTTGCCCCCTCTCCGCCCTCGTACTGACTCCGTGCCGGTCTGCCCCTCTCTCCGTCCAGCAGACCTGAATCAGTAGAGGCTAGCCCCGTGGTAGTGGAGAAGTCCAACAGCTACCCTCACCAGATCTACAGCAGCTCGCACCACTCGCACAGCTACATCGGCCTGCCCTACGCGGTACGTCCCGGGGGTCTGGGGGAGGGGGCTCACCTTCACGGCGGCATACCGTTCGGGTGATACTGACAAGCTTGCCCTTTCTCCTCCTTCCTCTTTCACTCCATCCCCCCCCCCC